ATTTACATACAACCACATACACTATATATAGACAATCTTTAAGTATTGTTTATAACAGGACTAAAATAATATTTTCAGATAGCAATATATCTATATTTATAATATATTTACTTAATTATTTAAAACGTATGCATATATACACACACACAATATAATACAATATTATAAGAAATACATAATACAAAAAATTTTGTTTTGTTTACTCAACACATAAAAACTATTAAAATTATTACATTTATATTTTAATCTTTTGTTAATATATCTGTCGAGTAAAGAAAACAAAAAATGCAATACTAGCAGTGTTATTGTAGTATCAAGATACTACTATAGTTTTTATTTTGTTTTCATTTGAACTTTATTTAAAGTTCTAGTAATTTTGATGTATTTTTGCCATTTTGATAAGTTTTAGTTTTTTTATTTAATTGTAATATGTCTATATAGTTTTGATTCTAATTTATTTGTCTATCAAATTTTTTTTTTGCCATATCAACATTAAAGGCTATATTCATGGCTAAACTCGGTAATAATAAGATTTAAAATACTCCAAAGAACTATTTACAATATTTTAACAATATAATTTTTTACAAAGAAACAAAAGTAAATAAAGAAAGAAAAATAACAATTATATACAATCATTCAACTGACATTTGATTAGGGCTGCACGATTATGACAAAAATCATAATTGTCAATTATTCCTTTGAAATTGTAATTGCGATTATTAATTATGATTAAATGAATGATGTTTACACCTTTGTTTGAGGCAACTGCATGCCATATTTTTATATGAAAATAAACAAGCTGAAAACACTAACTGAAAAACATTTATTGCTTTTCTATAGTATTAAGCCTCAAATGTCAACTATACATCGGATTGGTTTCTTCTTTAAATAAAAAGGTAAAAATATGCATGGTATTATGTTATACTAAAACTAAAATTAAAACAATGGAAAAACCTTTAAGATAACATGTAGAAAGAAATAAAGCATCTTAAGCATGCAGAATAACATAAGTGGACTTTGAACGATTAACTGCTGCTTTGAACGATTACGTAATTGTGGCATCAGTAATTGTAATCGCGATTAGAAATTCAATTAATTGTGCAGCCCTAAGTTCTATACTTTTCAATACTCAAATGTCCAGATTTTTCAGACCATACTGAACATGATAAATTATTTTATTTATGTATTTATTTATTTATGATTTATCACCTTATCAGTATGACTATGACTATATTCATGGCAAAACCAACAGTGTTATGGATTACAATATCATTTCAATACATTGTTTACAATAGTTTAACAATTTTGTCTTAAAACATACAAAAGTATACAATTTATTCAGTCATGTAAAATTTTGATTGCCTGCTCTAAATGTCATGAAAAAACACTCTGCTTGTATGATAAATGTATGATTTTTTAATATTTTATTTCAATTTAATTAATCAATTAACTTATTATTTTTTTTAGAAGTTCTTAATTTTATATTTTAGAAGTCAGAATAGGGACAAATAGTCTGGAAACAAACATTTTTCCATTCTCTTGTTTTCTTTTTTCCTGTACTTGTACAGGTCTGGAAAGGACTAAAATTTAATTCTGTATTTTCCATACTGCGCAAGAAACCCTGAGCTTTATTCAGTATGAAAAGCTGCTGCAATGAGCATCTATGAGGAAGAACCAGTCAGTGGATTTAGGAAAGTTTTAAAGGTTCAAGCAATGAACAAACATTTGAATATTCCTCAGTTTTGACTGTCAACATTTTAAGATTTATTTGGCCCTAAACACAGGCATTTTTTGGCCTCACTGGGTTACAACACGAGTTTGACTTTCTGCTGGTTCACTGCGGTGTCTTACTCTGTCTGCGGTGGCACTGGATAAGACGGCCTCCAGCACAGTCGAGCTGTACTCCTCCGAACACAGCTGATCAGGAGCGGACTTCACCGCGATAGCCAGAGTCAAACTACGGCCGTGACGCACCATCCAGTCCACGCCAGAAACATCCGCTGCAGACAAACAGATAACATGAGAGGATTCAGTTCTAGATTGAAGTGCTTTTCTTGATGCATCTCATCCCAAAGCACTGGCAGGCCCGAGATGTGTGTGATCTTACCGAGGACATGCTGCTGTAACACATTCTTGAGCTCCTCTTCTGACAGGAATTACATACAACCACATACACTATATATAGACAATCTTTAAGTATTGTTTATAACAGGACTAAAATAATATTTTCAGATAGCAATATATCTAACACACACACACACACGCAGACACAGAGGTAAGGCAACAATGACACACTCACACAACCACATCCTGTGCTAGTTACTGTTTTAAAGACAAAGATCACATGCATTCATATTCTTGCATGTCTTCAAACATAGAAGCAATAATAGGAGTAAAAATATTTTCAGATAAAAATATATTCATAAATGTCAATACATTTAAATATTAATTAATATTTTACACACACACACAAACACATATATATTAGTGCTGTCAAACGATTAATCGCAATTAATTGCATCCAAAATAAAAGTTTTTGTTTACATAATGTGTGTACTGCATATATTTATTATGTATATATAAATACAAACACATGCATGTATATATTTCTGAAAAATATGTTACGTTTATGAATTGTGAGACATCATGGCATTATCGAGTATATTGCAAAAACCAAACAACGCATACGTGACGTGATGAAGTCTGGTTAGACCTATGGGTTAGACCATCACAGGCTTTAGTGCGCGTGCGCATTTAAAGTGCGTTCTTTCACTGCATGATTCAGTCTATTAATATGCATTAAGAATGATCACATAATTCAAGATAAGGGGGCAGAAAATGTATGTTTATATCAATTTATATAGTTAATCAATGTCACAGGAAGAGTGCCGTTTTTTCTTAAAAAATCAGCATA